ATTTTAATAATTTTAATACTCTATACTAAAAAAAATATTTTAATACAAAGTATAAATTATTTCAAAATTCTCAATTTACAAAATAAATAAAAAATTAATAAAATTAAAAAAACTGACTATTATGATGTAACGATTGCATTTTATTAACGCATTCACTTGTTGACCATTTCGTCTCCCAATTGAATAATATGTAGGTTATTGATGCGTGATGGTTATTATCACCACAATTTTTATTATAATTATTAAAAATTATTATAATTTTATTATAATTTAATATTTAAAAAATTATAAATAAATAAAATTATTGTTAAATTAATAGTATTAACGAAAATTACGATTAATATAACCTCAGCCTTATGATGACCCAATCCTGGAAAGGAAGTTTTTTAAAATAAAAAATAACGCGTTCACCCGTGCTCCTGTGCTTGTTCTTCTGGTCGTCACTGCCCAAACACGGTAAGTTGAAAGGAAGAAAGGCTCATGCCATGCCTGCCCTCTCGTTATTTTGTTGTACTTTAATACAGATACGAAGGGAATTGTCTTTCCCAAGAAGTCATGTTAGTATTTTGCTACTTGCTGTTTAATCTAATCTCTTTGTAGACGTTATTTTCTCAAAAAAAAGAAAAAGTCTTGCCTAAGGTCACATGTTAAGAAAATCATTAATATGTTTTTTATTTATTAAATTATATAAAAAATTAAATTAAATTTTAATTTTAATAATTAATTAATTAAATTAAGATATTTAATATTAATATTAAAATTAATATTAATATTTTTTATTTTTTAACATATATTAATAATTAAAAAATATATTAATTATATTTTAATTTATATTTTAAAAGTATAAATTAAAAAAATTACAGAAAAAAAAAAGACTCATCTAATTGGCTTGACTTACAGTACAAGAGCAGTGCTAGGGGCACTCGCTTTCTGCACTCTCCGGCCAGCACTTCCCCTTTCATTGGGCCACGTAAGCTTCTTTAAAGCTTTCAGCGCAACCTCTCGAATACCAAAATAACGTGGCCCAATAAAAGAGAAAGTGTCGGCCGCAGAGTGCAGGAGGCGAGTGCCCCTAGCATTGCTCTACAGTACAAATATTCTTATGTCTCAACTGGGCTATAGACTGAGACTTTTCAGAGTCGTTTGGCAGAGCTTTAAAAGCTGTTACGTTAGCTATCAAACTCGCTTTTAATGACACTTTAATGCAGATGTGATGGGAATTGTCTTTCCCAGAAAATCATGTTGTATTTTGCTACTTGCTGTTTAATACTTTAATCTAATCTCCTTATTTTCCTACAAAACAAAAAAACGGAAGGATGAAAGACTCTCATCTAATTGGCTTGACTTACTGTATAAAGATTCTCAAAGTCTCAACTGTGCCATACGCTAAGGTGTGTTTGGGTTGTTGGTAACGCGTTGTAATTATAATTGTGATTGTGATTATATTAAATTATATTGTGTTATAATTATAATTAAAAATTAATTTGATATTTGATTATTTATTTTTTTTAAATATTATAGATAAAATATAATATATTTTATTAATTATTAATTAAAATTTAAAAA